CCTCCCACCTTAACAATATGCACCCTGGTCTTGAAATTCCCCACTCTAGGGAAAAGACACCTGCCATTCACCCTATCTATACCCCTCGTGACCTTATAAACCTCTACAAGGTCACCATCGACCTCCTACGCTCCAGTGAAACAAGTCCTAACCTGTCCAGCCTCTCCTTATAATTCAAACCTTCCAATCCTAGCAGCATCCTGTTAAATCTCTTCTGAACCCTCTCCAGTTTAATAATGTCCTCCATCCCCTCTTTCAGCCAGCTATTCTTCCAATCCCGCTGTGTTTACATCTCTCCTCATCACAGCTTTCTGTTTGACCCTGCAGTCCCACTTCCATCACTTGGCTCAGCTCATTTCCTCTGCAGCATTAGTTACAAAGGTGGATTGCTTATTTGGTTTTCTGCAGCGCACAGATTTCCAGTTTAATCTGTAAGCACAGGAGGCTGTCAATTTTTTCTCAATTTGAAATTATCTAAGTTCTTCATAGGAAGCAATGTGACCCTTCTTCATTAAGGTTAATATAAATGGTGTGACTGTAAGAAGATCCAATATTCTATTTCCCAGTGAATTGAAGGTTGTTGAGTGACAATACAGTACCTTACAAGGTTTCTGTATGAATAGAGTTATTGATGGTTACAGACTCATTCTTCACGCAAGTTAAATACTAGACAACAATTCAGGCAATGGGTATTACACGTTTATTTTTTAGTTATTCACATACGTATGTATGCACTCACTTGCCTTGCGCTATCCTGAAGGCTGTACCAACTTATGATGGAACACAGTTGTTGAGGCCTTATCCAACTAGCCATTTAGGGCCTGCTAATTGCTAATTGAAGCTCCAAAATGGGGCAGAGTAGGGCTCCTGAACCAGAGTTTGTTCACTCCGTTTCTTTGCTATGTTTCTTTTGCCTCTCTTGACGTTTTTGTTCTTTTTACTGCCCTCACCCCCACTCCTCCATCCTCCTGTGCTCGGACTGCGTTGTCGATGCCCGAGGTGAAAGCCGGGGCGGACCCGGACCAGGACCCCCTTCCTCGGGGCGGACCCGGACCAGGACCCCCTTCCTCGGGGCGGACCTGGACCCCAGCCCTCGGGGCGGACCCGTACCAGTACCAGGACTCCCGGCCTCACGGCAGGCGCAAACCTGTACCAGTGCCAGGACTCCCGGCCTCGGGGCGGGCGCGGACCCAGACCCCCGTCCTCGGGGCAGACCCGGACCCATACCCGTACAAGTACAACTACGAGGACCAGGACTCCCGGCCTCAGGGCAGACCCGGACTCCATCTTCGGGGCGGGCGCGGACCGAGTGGGTTTCCTCCGGATGCTCCAGTTTCCTCCCACACTCCAAAGATGTGTAGGTTAGGTGGGTTAGCCATGGGAAATGCAGGGTTACAGGGATAGGGTAGGGGGTGGGTCTGGGTGAGATGCTCTGCAGAGGGTTGGTGTGGACTGGATGGGCTGAATGGTCTGCCTCCACACTAGGAATTCTATGATTCTCTGAGTATCCAAACAGGGTAGCATATCAGCCGTTAAAATTGGGAGGACTTGGTGATGCAGCAGAATGTCTCCATTTACAGTTCCCAGGGAGGAAGAGGTCGGCCAACTCTGAATGGATCGAGGTGACTGAAAAACGCAGTGTGGTTTTGACTCGGTCCTGAGGGAGAGTTGGCCTCTGTTGTGTTGCTGAGATAAATGTTCATAGTTTTACAATTGTGTCTTTGAATACACCTGAACAATACCTGACTGAAAGATTAGTAGAGGGAGCATTCTGACAATTGTTTTGTAGGTCTTTCACTTGCAGGGCTATATCTGTGCTGTAACAGGGCACTCTGTCTCACTGGTTGGACCATTGAACATGACACTGAACAAATGCTAAAGAGCCACTGCTTGTTGGTCAAGGTAGCCCCCTGCCAGTGTTTCATATTGACCTGACAGCAAGTATCTGTCTGTACTAAGTGTTTGCTGATTGTAATGTGGGGCGGTACACACAGACTGGAAGCTGTGCACAAGCAGAGAGGACACTGGAAATTCTGACCTGGAACCAAGAGTGAGATTATCCTCCACTGACCTGTCCATCTGCGTCTCTCTGTTTTATCCCCTGATCTCCAGGGTTCGAACATTTTTCTGCTAATCCTGTTGGTTTGTTTCTTGGCATCATGCAGTCAGATTCAGGCAGCCTCTGTGTAGGCATTGCATTCTGTCCCCCTAGTGTTCATGGATTGAGCATGGGATGTAATGGGGGGAGAAGGTGAAGTTATTGTGACTTCGGTGATAACAGTGAGCTTTCTGCGGGCCTTCTAATTCAGTTGGGCATCATCGCTGCTGGCTTTTATGTTGTTAAATCTGAATTTCACAGAGCAGTGGGAGATTTTTGACCTTAAAATTCTGAAAGGAGCAACTCTGCCTTTGGGTACAGAAGTAACTTCCAGGATTGAAGGAATCTCGTCAGAGGAAGTTTTTAAATTCTTCCCTTCCACAAGGGGAGACACCTGACATTTTGCAGCCCAACTAGAAACCAACTTGGGTGGTGCCAGGCTGTTCAGTGGCACTACATGATCTGATGTGTTGGCATACACCTGTGTCAATGTGTGGGTGTGTAATGGTATAATCAGTGATGGAGCAGAGAGCTATAGCTGGAGAGTTTAACCCAGTGGGTGTCTTGGAGGGTACAGTGACGTGTGCCCACTGACCTACAGTGGCACCAGGTTTACTAAAGCCTGAAATTTAACATTCCAATCTTTGTGTTCAAGCGTCTCGTTGGCCTTGTTCTTTCAAGCCTTTGTCTCTCCTTTTAAGGCATTTCTTAAGCCTTTAGCTTTGGGTCATCGTTCTGCGTGTCTTTTTGCCTGCTTGGTGCCAATTATCTGTCTGATAATGCAAGACCATGGGATGTTTTACTTTGTTAGAGGTGCTGCATAAATGCATGTTGTCATTAGGTGAATTTACTACATTTAATGTTGCGCACTGAATGACAGGCTATAATTTATAGCCTATCAACAAATTGTTTTTTGTTGTTGCGGTAACCATAAGAAATTCATTATTTGCTTAAAAGAGCATGATCACCTGCGAGAAGCCAGATCCCCTCTGGATTGTTTCTTAACCATATAATGTGATTGCGTCAAATCAAGAGGTCACATGTATGTAACAGTGTGCATGCGAACCACAGATATTACATTCGGAGCATTTCTCTTTCATAACACGAAGGTGACTCATCAAGATTGCTGGAGCCCAAGGCAGTGGTTGTTTCTAAATGGATTAGTTAAGAATTATTATTCCCGAGACGTGCATTCTCCCAGGGATCTTTTATTTTGGTTTCAAGAGGACCCACGCAGAACTCCAGTCACTTCATGGAGCTGGACATGTCTGTGCTTAGCATTGACTCATCAACAATAAATGCTGCTGTGTGTATATGTGGGTGTGTGGCTCCCAGTTCAAAGAGAAGGGAAAGTTTTTAGTGTCCCTGAAAGAGTTGATATTGGTGATGGGAAAGATAAATGTTGGTGTTCGACTTTGAGCTGCAATGGAAACTAAAAACAGTCGGCACCAAACAAAACGGCAGAAAACGTACAGGTCCTGGAAATCTGAAACAGGCGCGTACAGCAGGACTGGAAACACAAAGCAGCATTGGATGCAATAGCTGGTCACAGCTGACAAGGGCGTTGACTCTTTGCCAAAATGGTGCCCAGTTCTACTTCATGCTTTTCTTAAACAAAAAAAGATGGTATTACAACCCAGCTCCTAGTGGAGGACTGCACTGAAGCACTTGCTGCTCTCTGCTTAACCCCTGCCCTACCCTGCCAGTGGTGTAAGCCACTAAGTCCCTAAGCTGCACCGACCCCAATGAGAAGGGTAGGGAATCAGTGTTTGTTCCCATTGCTCCTTACTGTTTGGTAATGAGTATATGAGGGTCAATGGAAGACAATCCTCTTCTCCCATGTGGTTCCTGTTGACAGTTTCTCTTGATGCTTATGAACAAGCCTCAGACATTGGGAGAGTTGTCAACCCCCTGGGCCTCCCTCCCTACCTGTTGATGTTCACAACCTAATCATGTGGGGCAGATCGGTGGCTCACGGTGCCAGGGACCTGGGTTCAATTCCACCCTCGGGCGACTGTCTGTGTGGAGTCTGCACATTCTCCCCGTGTCTGTGTGGGTTTCCTCCAGGTGCTCCAGTTTCCTCCCACAGTCCAAAGATGTGTGGATTAGGAGGATTGGCCATGCTAAATTGCCCATAGTGTGCAGGGATGTGCACACGAGGTGGATTAGCCATGGGGAATGCAGGATACCAGGGATAGGTAGGGGGATGGGTCTGGGTGGGATGCTCTTCAGAGGGTCGGTGTGGACCCGTTGGGCTGAATGGCCTGTTTCCACACTGTAGGGATTCGATGATCCTATGAATAGGGTTCATTAACCAGTGGCCAATATCCCAGCGATGGCTCAATGCCTTGAGGAGAGCGGGAGGGTCAAAACTAATAGGAAAAGTTGATAATTGTGTTATATTGGGATAATTGACTTGACATTAAGTAACTTGGCAACCAAAGTCATTTGCAGCCTCAATACATTTTCAACAATAGGAAATGACCCCTTCAGAGCATCATATTGACTGCATTCAGTTTGTGAATTGGACGTAGCAAGAACTGCAGATTCTGGAAGTCCGAGTCAATACAGTGTGGAGCTAGAGGAACACAGCAGGTCAGGCAGGATCAGAGGAGCAGGAAAGTCAATATTTTGGGTCAGGAACTGATGAAGTGTCCCAACCCGAGAAGTCGGCTTTCCTGCTTCTCTGGTGCTGCCTGACCTCCTGTATTCCTCCAGCTCCACGCTGTATTGACTTTATTTTGTGAATGATTTGATCTGCACCTCGCCTAATTCATTATAATCCTCCTAAGGAATCGGGTGGAAATGTGAGACAGGAAACCGATGTTACAGTGTAATGATACATAGGAAAGCCCTTGAGTTTCAGTATTGGATTCTTTACTCTTGTTATCTCTTTCTCAAGGTAAACATGGCACATATTGGGAGTCTGGAAGAAGGTGCCAGGAGTAATAACTGTCACGAACATCTACAAAACTTCCGAGACAAGAAGGACATTATCACCAGCTTGGTGTCTGCCTTGGACTCCATGGTCAGTGCAATCTGCTCCAGTAGGACAGTCTTGCCTGCTAAGTATAACTTCTCCACTCTGATATCATTCCTGTGAATCTTTTAGCAACCTTTGCATTGTCTCTATCTCTCTTTTAACATGGGGATCAGATATATACTGATCTGATAAAGATTTGTGGTATATCACTATTATTTGGAAACTTGGGTTCTAAACCATCTCTAAGAGCAGCAGGGCAGTCAGTAGGAGAAAAGCCATGGGAGAGAAGTTGAAGGAATCCATGTAAAGAATTAAGTGAGCTGTGTTAGCAGCTTGTTTAAGGGTCTCAGGAAGAGACATTAGCTAAAGAAGGTAGCATCAAGTGAATGCTGAAATCTCCCAAAAATAAATCAATTACAGTCATGTGAACTGCACAATGAACTTACAAGTAGAGACCCCTTCTCTGAGGTTTGAGTGTCTGTTGGATTGTTATTGAATTATTATTTCTGATGTTTGTAGTGAGATTTTTCAAATAGCGCTTGAATGCTGTAATAATGATGTTTTGCTTTTGTGGAAAAGTATTTTGCATTCTTTTGTTAAAAGTATATTGGTAGCTTCTTATGAATATGTTCAGCGACTAATAACCACCATGGTAAACAAAGAGCAAAAGTAAAACTTGAGGCCTATCAGTGAAGGTTTCACTCTGGGATTTCGCTTGTCCTGTATTACCATTAGTTCTTCCTTAAATTTTTTTCCTTGCGTGTGGCCTTTGCTAGGTAGGCCCACTTTTATTGCCTAACTTTGATGTGGAGAAGGCTGTGTGGAGCTGCTACCTTTTGAAGGGCTGCTGTCCTGGGTGTGGGGGTATACCCTCAGTGCAGTTAGGAAGGGACTTCCAGGATTCTGTCTGGCAACAGTGAAGGAATGGCAATGTCATTCCAAGTCAGGGAGATGTGAGGTTTGGAGAATTTGTAGGTGGTAGTGTTCCCATGCATTTGCTGCCCTTCCCTTCTGGGTAACGGAGATGCTGGCAAAGGAGCTTTGGTGACTTGCTGTGCATCTTGTAAATGGTACACACTGTGCGTCAGTGGCGGAGGGAGTGAATGTTGAAGGTGCTAGTCATACAGACAGCTTTATCCTGGATGGTGTCAAGCTTCTTGAGTGTTAAAGCTGCACCCATCTAGGCAAATGGGAAGTATTCCATAACACTCCTGCCTTTTGTCTAGGAGACAGGACATGAGTTAGTTGCTGCATGATTCCTAGCCTCTGACCTGCTCTTGTAGCCACATTACTTGTATAGTGAGTCCAGTTCCCTTTCTGAGCAATGGTAAATGCCAGGATGTCAACAATGGAGGATTCAGAAATGGTAACGGCATGGAATGTCAAGACATAGAATATAACTATGTTGTTGGAGATGGTGATTGTCCACCAGTTGTGTGGTGCAAATATTACTTGCCTGGATATTGTCCAGGTCTTGATGCATTCAGACATGGACTGCATGGTGCTGAACATTGTGTAATCATCAGCAAACGTCCCCACTTTCTGACCTTATGATGGCACGTTAATTAATAAAGTAGTTGAAGATGATGGCATCTTGGACTCTACCCTGAGGAACTCCCACAGAGATAGATGTCTGATGTTGAGACGATTGATCTCCAACAATAACTATGATCTCCCTTGTGCTAGGTATGACTTCAGCCTGCAAAAAGGTTTCCCCCCCCACCTCAGCCCAACCACCAATTCCCATTGACTCCAGTTTTTCTGGGACTCCTTCATGCCCCTTGTCAAATGCTGCCTTGATATCAAGAGCAGTCCCTCTCACCTCACCTCTGGAATTCAGTTGTTTTGTCCATGTTTTAGACCAAGCTGTAATCAGGTCAGGAGCTGAGTGGCCCTGGCAGAACCCAAACCATCATAACAAGTATGAATATTTAAATAATTGTTGAATATGTCTTCTCTCATTTTTAGTTCTCCTCTCCCAGAAGAGTACCTTTATTGCTTGTGTTGCTTTTTTGAATGGCTTTATTAACTTAAGTCTAATTTATTAACTTTATTAACACTGTCTGTGCTGCTTGTGGACCTTTTGTTGCTGCATCCTATTGGGACACTCATTATCAAAGCAGCATGTGACCTCTTTATTCTTCCAGCTGCTGTTTCTCTCATCAATTTTATCATGTTGTAAGACAGTTATGTGTAAAATTATGTTTCTGTACTTTGAGCAATGTTTCTACTCGGAGGCCTCAACATCTTTTGAAAGATTTTGGGTTCATTCCTGCGCAAAACAGACGGAGAAATTTGTCTAAATCACTTCCCAGCAAGCACCGGGGGCGGGGTACATTTCCCAGCATGCCGCAGCATTAGCATGTGTCCCGTGAAGCAAACCCACAGCAAGTGACAGTCCCAAGAAAGTGGAATACACACAAAAGTCTGAGAGAGGGAAAAATACTTGGAGCCATATTTTCCCTCTGAGCATTGGCTGTCAGGCAGAAATGTAGGTCAAAAGCCCACACTGTGGAAATCGTACACTCTCACTGGGACTTCTCCTAGGGCAGACAATTTCTGCAACTAGCCAATTGAGGACTGTGTGCACATTCTTGACGATAAAGCTAAGTGAGGGTAAGGGTGCTTCCAAATGGATGGGGCAGGAAATCCCCTTCTGCACCCGCCCAGAAGGAGAATCATTCATAGGATCACACAGCACAGAAACAGGCCCTTCAGGCCAACTTGTCTATGCTGACCAGGTTTCCCAAACTGAACTAGTCCCATTTGCCTACATTAGATCCATATCCCTCTTTAACCTTTCCTATTCATGTACCTGTCCAAATGTCTTTTAAATCTTGTAAATGCACCTGCATCTACCACTTCTTCTGGCTGTTCATTACACATATACCCCACCCTCTGTGTGAAAAGATTGCCCCCTCAGGTGCCTTTTAAATCTTGCCCCTCTCACCCTAAACCTATGCCCACTAGTTTTGGACTCCCCTACCCTGGGGAAAAGAAGGAATGATTTTATTGTCCCATGTATTTTACAATGACAAAAACAATAAAATATAGCAAAAAGCTTTTCTGCAGTTGCCACAATCCAGTGCTATTTTGAATAGTTTTAAGAATTAGAAAAAGAAAGATATAGCTTAACAAGACCTTTTCTTTACTCAGAGAGTAGTAAGGGCATGGAATGCCCTGCCTGCAAAAGTAGTAGACTCGCCAACTTTAAGGGCATTTAAATGGTCATTGGATAAACATATGGATGATAATGGAATAGTTTAGGTTAGATGGGCTTCAGATTGGTTTCACAGGTCGGCGCAACATCGAGGGCTGAAGGGCCTGTACTGCGCTGTAATGTTCTATGTTCTATGTTCTTTGCTATTCACTTTATCTATGCCCCTCATGATTTTATAAACCTCTCTAAGGTCACCCCTCCATCTCCGCTTTAGTGAAAACAATCCCAGCCTATTCAGCTTCTCCCTATAATTCAAACCCTCCTGTTCAGGCAACAGCCTTGTAAATAGTTTCTGCACCCTTTCCAGTTTAACAACATCCTTCTTCTAGCACGGCAACCAGAATTGTATGCCGTCCTCCAAAAGTGGCCTCACCAATATCTTGTACAAATAGAACCTGACGCCCCAACTCCTACAGTCAATGCTCTGATCAAAAAACAGTAATATTTAGAACTGGAAATACTGAATGTATTGGACCTCCATTTTGAAGTACGTAAGATGAGTTGCACCAGTATGTGTCATTTGTCAGTTTTACTGGGCTTTTCCTCTGGTCGGGTCAGCCGGCAGAGATTTTAGAATCTTTTCCAGTGAGAGTCCAACCAACCCCAGCAATTGAACTGGACCCCACTGACAATGGGGACCTGAGGGCTGACTGGAAACTTGCAATGGCTGCACTTAATTGGCCATAAGTGTCACTTAGCGAGCTACCTGCACAACATTCACCCTCAACAAACCCCCCCGACCATCCCATCTTCACCAAACCTCCCCAATGACTGGGAAAGGGTCAGGAATTAGCGTGGTTGGCAACTGGAATATAATTAGCACCAACTTGCCTCCAGAACTCTGCCTCAACTGGTGCTAAAAACCAAGGCCTCTGAATTTGTGATAACAAGGTGTAGAGCTGGATGAACACCGCAGGCCAAGCAGCATCAGAGGAGCAGGAAAGCTGATGTTTCGCGTCAGAAAATGAAGAAGGGTCTCGACCTTTCCTGCTCCTCTGATGCTGCTTGGCCTGCTGTGTTCATCCAGCTCTACACCTTGTTATCTCAGATTCTGTAGCATCGGCAGTTCCTACTGCCTCTGAATTTGTCTTTCCTTTGGAATTCAAACAAAAATTATCGAGGGGAAATTTTGAACCTTTTTGTTGGCAAATCTTTAGGGAAAGAAATCTGCCATCCTTACCCAGTCTGGTCTACATGTGACTCCAGGCCCACAGCAAAGTGGTTGACACTTAACAATTGGGGATGGGCAATAAATGCTGCCTAGCCAGTGATGCCCACGTCCTATGAATGAATAAGACTAAAGGTTTATTGACAGTGAGAAGAAGAGGGTTTATGCAGTAAAATGGTAAAAGATCCCTTGGCCTTTATAGACAGCTATCGACTTTCAGTTCATTGGGAAATGGTTCATCGATTTGCTGATTGACTGTCCAACCAGTTCTGATGAAAATTACCCCAGAGAGTCTGAAAATAGCATCTGCATTGCATTCACAGACACATAGCTGTAAAAGACAGAAGGAGGCCATTCAGCCCATTATCCAGTCAAAGCCTTCTTCATTCTATAGGAGAACAGTCTCCAGTCTCTCCACACAGCATCCATGTTGTTAATGTTTGAATTAAGAGCCCCTGGTGTTGGACATAATATATTAGCATGGATAGAGGATTGGCTAACTGATAAAGGAGGCCTTCTCAGGATGGCAACCTGTAACTAGTGGAGTGCCACCGATCTGACATAGATGCTGCCAGACCTGCTGAGTTTCTCCAGAATTCTCTCTGCATGTTTGTGATGAGAATAGGCAGCTGTTACTAAAACCGCACAAGGCACTGG